ATATTTGGCTTGTAGCTTCCTAGGAAAGAGCCGAACAAAGTTTGAGAATGAAAATGACCTTGACCTTCTTTTAAGGTCACATGAGGCAGATATGTCAAACACTTTAAACGACTTCTTCTGAAGAACTGGTAGTTATAAAATCTTAATATTTGGCAGGTGGCTTCCTGGGAAAGAGCCAAACAAAGTTTGCGAATGAAAATGACCTTGACCTACTTTCAAGGTCACAGCGTTCAAATATGTCAAACAGTTCAAACAGCTTCTTCTGAAGAATTAAAAGGCATAAAATTATAATATTTGGCTGGTGACTTCCCGGGATAGAGCTCACCAAAGTTTGCAAATGAAAATGACCTCAACCTACTTTAGAGGTCACAGAGGTCAACAACATTTTAATGGATTTGTTCTTGAGAACTAAAAGGAATGGATTCATAAGATTTGGCTGGTAGCTTTTTGGAATAGAGCTAACCAATTTGAGAAGGAAAATGACATTGACCTACTTACAAGATCAAAGGGAAAAATATGTCAAGCAACTTCTGAAGAAGAATCAAAAAGCATAGAATCTTATAATAATATTTTGCTGGTAGTTTCAACAGATGGAACCAACAAAGTTTGCGAGGGAAATATTTATAGTGCAATATAATATTGAATGAGAATATTTTGCTATGACTTCTTAAATATTCAGGTGAGCGATACAGGCCCTCTTGGGCCTCTTGTTATTAAAGTCTGTTCTGGGAAGTAGGGCAGCACGTCCGTTTTTGAAAATTATTTAATTTCCCTGTCGGATGATTGGATGGCCGAACGAGCCCCGCAATGGGATAAGTTCGGACAGGCATTCGGGTAAGTTCGGTCCCATTGGAATCAGCTTAATTATGACATTATAAAGCATGCAACGTCAGATTTTTCCGCCAATTTTACGACTTTTTATGTGTTACATGGGCCGAACTTGCCACGATATCATTGGCCGAAACTGTCCGGCCCAAATTGATATTTCAATAAATTTTAATCGTGCATCAATATGGTAGTGAGTGCTTGGCTTTGCTTTTATGTACATGCATATCATTTGAAGCTGTCAGTGTGTTACACATTTGACGTTCGCATAACTAGAAGCGAGATCATAATTTTCTTTCTACCCTCTCAAAAGTAATTTTCTGCTGTATAGTAATTTTACATTAGAGCTTTCCTCGCCATTTTTTCGTGTGAATGCCCAGCCAACTAAACTGCTAAGATCTTTAAAGTTGTAAATATTAGCTTAAAAAACAAAAATATCGGTGGTGGCCGAACTTACCCCGGTCTTGGCCCGCATGTAGATTTTTTGTATCGTTGATGATTGGTAAAGGTGTATTCACAATAAAAAAAAAGATGCATTAATGACGCCATTTTCAAAGCTAAAGTAGATATTTGTTCTTGTTACGTATATGAAGGGTTGGGTGGCGGGCTTGTCTTCACCAAGATGGCCGGATTCAATCTCAGTTACCTGCCCAACCACGCGAGTTTTCTCTGGATACTCCGGCTTCCTTTCACATTAAGAATTAAATCCTCTGCATGCTTCGATTCTGTCGGGTCACAAAAAGAATGATTGAAATAAGGTGGAAAAAAACTGTTTGGAAATTTCTATAGAAAAAAGTGCATATTACATATTTGACGACAAGTCTATAAAAGTAAATGTATAGAAATTAAATGTTAGTTCAAAAAAAATGAAATTAAAAAAAGAAAACATTGTAATACTTTGATGTAACTGAGATTGTCGTTATTTAGAATTCCTGTTCCATCCTGAAACACCGGATTGAATTTCAAATTTTGAAACTGTCACTGAGGTTTGACAGGTAATGATGCCAAATAAAACTAAACAGTTTCTGTCTGTAACTAATTATAAAACGGCATGCGTTGTGAAAAAGTAATACGTTACTGAAAAAGGCGTTGATTGTTGATTTCAACATAAATGAATTATCCATTGTTTCTTTTATGAGTGGTGATGCATACATAAATTATGTAAAGACTATAACCAGACTTTCAAAAATGTTGATTATTTCGTTCATATCCTCAACAAATGGAAATCAAAAGCTGATGAAATTTTAGACGATGAAAAATAAATGTACACGTTGACCTATTGGTTAACAATTGTAATGCATCTCTTTTTGAAAATATCTCCCGGTAGAAATATCAACAGAACCTGGTTGATGACAAAAAGGATCTTCAGAAAACATCCGCGTTTTTACTTTTTGTGCCTGTGGCAAAAACTGAAATTAAAAAGTCATGAAGCACCGATAAAGAAAGATTTTCCTGTTATTTTTCATCCTTCCGGAAATAACGGTCATTTCCGGAGAGATGAAAAATAACCGGAACTGATGGCCGTTGCATTTATCTCTTTGTCGGTGCTTCATGAGTTTTTAATTTCAGATTTTCTCCTACATTTTTTATAGCATGTCAGCTAAACACTCTTAGAATGATGCAGATCTTATTTCAATGTATGAAAATTTATAACACTATATGGCATTCAACGGGCGTATATTGTTCCGCCCCGCGGTACTCTTGTTAAGGAAGAAGGGCCCAAATAAAAATGCTGTTTTAATCTCTGATCAAATTTACAGACAGCAGTATTTTATACAGTTTTAGAGGAAATAAAAACACTGTACATTTTATTTAAACATTTTCTCTTACCATATAATAGGAACTGTGATAAAAAAAAAATTCATGTAAGTGTTTTCCCCTATGTAACATAAACAGCTTTTTAATATTTCTTCTTTTAATTATTTTAAATGCAGAAAAAACTAAGGGATACAAATTTAAAGATAAGAAACAAATGTTATATCTATTATTCAATGTACAAAACTAATACACATTTCTATAAATTGTATATTTTATTTTAGAATATTGAAAACAATGATATTGCTGAAAATTCATACAAAAAGAACAATTATTTATTTCTTTGGCTTTAAAGTTCATCAAAGGTTTGGTAAATAAAAGTACCTATATAAACACAATATTAACCCCTCCCTTAAATTTGATGAGGTATTATTGAGTGTGTCCGTCTTGAACGTTCGTTGAAAATGAAACATATCAGCTTAAAAAAAATCTGGGGAGAACCCTGTAACCAATGAAGGCCGATGGAGTGTGACATGATTATGACGTCATAGTATGATAATCTCTGAACGACGTTTCATGCCTGCTAGTATCAAAATGTATGTGATAGATTTGTTTCACTCAGAATGTATATTAGTTTTTATCTAAATAAATAAGTAATAAAACATGGGTATTGTTTTCACTATATGAAAATATTCTTGTATGGGTTGAAACACAATTGTCTTTGCTTCAAGGAATACACTTCCGGTTTCCCCACTGGACGTCTACTTCCGGACGAAAAAAATTAAAGGCAAGGTGTAGCAAGGGGAGGCAACTCTGTTTACGCACGCATGTGTTACCATTAAAGAGCTTGGCTCGGGCGCCTTTGGCGCCCGAGAGCTACGCTCTTATAATAATTAGTAGATATGAACTTATACATTCTCGCTATTTAATATATTAATTCCAGAAAGCATGGCCAGAAAAAGTCCTGTATTACCAACAGTAAATTGCAATATATATACCTGAATAACTGTATAGTAAAATTGCTCTTTTGTGTTATGTAGAGTTAGTACGTAAGTTGCAAAAGTTCTTGCAACTATTCATTTGTTTATCGTGTCATTTGTAAATTGTGTTTCAGGACATTTGCACAGCAGTGTAGGAATATAGAGGAGCTGAATCTCAACAACTGTAAAGAGATCACAGACTTGTAAGTATCCAGAGGTTATAGTTCAAAGTATCCAGAGGTGAAACTTCAAAATATCCAGAGGTCAAAGTTCAAACTATCCACTAGTCAAGGTACACTATATAAGCGATACTGTATAGAACAGGGACATGCACGGAATCAGGGGCCCTGACCTGGTCACTGGAGGTGGCTATACTACATGTACATTGCATCCTGTTTAGAATGACAGCATTTATCTGAAGCAGAGGTTGTGATGTTGTTGGTTTTACTATTTGTTTATTTTCATAAAAGTTTTGCACAAAGATATCACAATCATATCAAACTTGGTCAATATACTGTCTTTAGCATACTACCTGTAATTACTTATTTTTCAACTCCCTATGGATCATTATGAATATGCTTTACTGTAGAAAACTTACTTCTTAGATCCCTTAGAGATCATTATAAACATATACATATGTTTTATTGTTAAGAGCTTATATAATGTCTTGATCCCTAGGGATCACTATAAACATATACATATATTGTATTGTTTATAGCTAATGTCGTGATCCCTAGGGATCACTATAAACATATACATATACTGTATTCTTTAGAGCTAATGTCTTGATCCCTAGGGATCACTATAAACATATACATATACTGTATTATTTAGAGCTAATGTCTTGATCCCTAGGGATGACTATAAACATGTTTTACTGTATGTAGTTGATTTGGAGAGTTGTTTTCTGTAGAACCTGTGAGAGTCTGGGCAAGTACAGCCACAAGTTACACCGACTGGACATCAGTTCCTGTCCACAGGTCACCAACTCTGCACTCAAGGCCGTCAGGTAAGAGGTCAAAGTTCAAACTGACCAATGTCTCTATTCATTTGTTGATGAAGATGATACTGGTGTGAATCTTAAATTTGGATTAGCTTGTAGAATTAATGTTACAGAAATGTATTTACTAGCATAAATGTTGGGAAAAGATAGAAAACTATATCTGTGTGTCTGGGACTGAAATCAGATGTGGTGCTAACATACAGAGTTATTGCCCTTAGTACATCTTTAATAATAATATACAACATTTGATATAGCGCCCTATATAGCTAACATAAGCCACTCTAAAGCGCTTTACAGTACATAGATATACAATTAATATAATTAGGATATACAATTTTTTAGGAATTCGCAGGAGCTGCCGTATCAGGCGCTAACTACTAGTCCTATGCCACCTGGCTAATATCTCCCTATGTGTGTATGCCTGCGTGTGTGCTGGAGATGTATTGTGTTCAAAGTTTGTCAGAAAATGGGAAACTTTGGATAGCTATCAATTCTTTGTCTTGTTTAACATGTTCAGCTTTGATAATTAACAAAGATGGTATAAAATAACCCAACTTAATTATCCAGCTGGTTGTGGTATGTCCATACTAAACATATTATAATCATGTTTTCTGTTTTCAGTGATGGCTGTCACAATTTGAAGATTGTTAATTTGTCATGGTGTACAAAAGTCACAAATGATGGCATAGAGGCACTGGCCAAGGGGTGTACTGTACTACACACCTTTATAGGCAAAGGGTTACCACAGGTAAGTCTTAGTGAGACCAGGTGATACACAGATAAGTCTTAGTGAGACCAGGTGATACACAGGTAAGTCTTAGTGAGACCAGGTAATACACAGGTAAGTCTTAGTGAGACCAGGTAACCCACTGGCCAAGGGGTGTACTGTAATACACACCTTTATAGGTAAAGGGTTACCTCAGGTAAGTCTTAGTGAGACCAGGTAATACACAGGTAAGTCTTAGTGAGACCAGGTAACCCACTGGCCAAGGGATGTACTGTACTACACACCTTTATAGGCAAGGATTACCTCAGGTAAGTCTCATAGAAACCAAGAAATCTACAGGTAAATCTAAGTAAGACCAGGTAACCCACGAGTAAATCTTAGTAAGACCAGGTAACCCACGGGTAAATCTTAGTAAGACCAGGTAAAATCCACTATTTCCCCTCTGAAGTTTTAAGACCAGGTTACTCACAAGTAAGTGTTATCAAAATATAAGCCATGAAATCTACAGGTAAATCAATATGAGAACTATATGTTCATGGACTAATGTTAAACTGCGGTTTAAGGGGGGATCACAAAGTACCCCTGGAGTGGAATACCTATTTCCACATGTCTAGTGCTTTATCTTTAAACTGACCATAGCTAAAATGATTAAAATCTTGTGAGAAGGGGGAGAAATTGGTTTGGTATTACTGTCAAAGTGGCTGATACAGATCCAGTCTTTTTTATTGAATTTTAAGTGTCTGCCGTTCTTGGAAGTTGATATTTTTTTATACAAATTGCTTTCTTTGTTCTAGGTGACGGACGTTGGAATCTCTCATATAGCAAGGAATTGTAAAAACTTGAAAAAAATCAATCTTCATAGTTGTTCAGTAAGTAGAAAAAAATCACTACATGTACTAATAAATGTGGTACTTGATATAAATAGCTATTCAACAAGCAATGTCTGATTATAAGGCCAGGTGTTAATCAAATGTGTGTTGACCTGAATCAAAACCAGGATTTTAGGTATCGGTACCTGGTAGTGAAAATGTATTAATTATACCCCCGCAACGAAGTTAGGGGTGGTATACTGGAATCACCCTGTATGGATGTCTGTCTGGATGTCGTCCACAGTAACTTGTCCGGAGAACTCCTCCTTAACTAACAGGTGGATTTCATTGAACCTTTGCATGAATGATCGGTATCTTATGTAGTTGTGCACCGGCATTTTAATTTGGGATTTCAACTCTTTTTGATGGAGTTATGCTTCTTTGTGCCAAATACTTGTCCGTGCAACTCCTCTTTAACTATATTGCTTTGAATAAGTAAGCCTTTAGCTTTCAGTTTTGGTTTATTAAGGAGCGGGGGTATTAGTTAGCCTTTGGCTTACAGTTCTAGTTTATTTAAGAAATATGACTTTTTTGGTTTTAATAAATCCTTTCAAAATGTGCTTTTGAAGTTGCATGCTTCCATGTTAATAATTCACACTATAAGATGTAAAATAATCCAACAATTTGTTTAAGTAGTGATATTACATAACAAAGTAGATGATATACTAAATTTCCAATTTTAAGAAATTTATAATTTGAATAAAACACTTTCAATTAAAGAGGTTTTTCCGGGTTCAGGTTTTGAAAAAAAAAGTCTGTAATTTATTTTAGGCTCTCTTTATCGTGTGAAAATGTGTTTATTATCTCGTGTTTAAACCTTTTTTTCTCGTCCTGATTTTAAACCTCTGAATATTTTCCTTAGATATCTTGCTCTTTATAAAGTTTTACTGTTTCATAAGTTGTTCAAAGCTGTGTCACGTCTGATTTATAAAACTGTTTCCAGAATATAACGGATGAGGCTGTACAGGAGATCGGGGAACACTGTCACCAGCTCTTGTTTCTGTGTATATCAAATTGTCCGAGGCTGACGGACGCTGCTCTGGTCTCCCTAGGCCAAGGATGTCACAACTTAAGGTGGGTATAAACTTGTGATAGTACTGTAGTTATCGATATCTCATTGACATGCGTTTTACCTCGTCTCCTGTTAAAACAGACGACATGGACTAATTTCGGAGTTAACAGTTGTGGAGGCATTTTGTAAACAACATACATACAAAGGCCTTCACATAGGGCCAAAAATGTTTAAATTTTTAATCTGTTAATATGTGAAAAATGTGAAAATATTTGTACGGTTTGCTGAACCCAGAGCCCAAACTCTGGCAGTAATCCTATAACTAAAAACTGGAGAATAAATGTTTTTTTACGTCTGGAAAAAAAATATGTGAAAAATCTGAATCAGTTAACATGTTACAAGTTCCTCACTTAATAAATATCAACCCTATATATCTGTAGGACAGGGAATTTCTGCTTGAATTTCCATTAATAAGTGTCACATCTTCCTAACAGTGAATATCAATAATCACCAAAAATTAATTATAAAGAATGGTTTGGTCGATGAAGCTGAATGATACATATCTGGGCTAATTAGTACCTATGAATTAACTGATTGTTGTGTTAAAACTTGACAGGACATTGGAGGTCGCATGTTGTTCCCATTTCACAGACAATGGTTTCCAGGCCCTGGCCAAGGTAAGTCTATTACCAGTCAGGGGAGGTAACTTGTAGAGTCCCTTCATAGAAACCTGGCAGGGACAGGGAAATATGTAAATAAATAATCATGCAATGTTATAGGAATTGGAGACATAACCGAATCACATCTATTTATTATAAATGAAAAAACCAACCAGCTAGACCGACCATGGGACTTCAGCATTTGAACCCTTCATGTTCTGTCTGGGGTTGAAGTGTAATGTTTGACCTCCGTAATGTTTACCCTCTGAGTACAGTTAAAACAATAACATTTATATTGTTCATAGACAGATAAAGACCAGCTAGAGGCAGTAAACTGTATCTTTCATTCATTATCTATTTCAGAATTGCAATAGTTTAGAGAAAATGGACTTGGAAGAATGTATACAAGTAAGTACAATGTTCAACATTTCATAATCCCTTACTTACTGCTGCTGCACTGTAGTAGTGTGGTATATATGATAAGTGACGTGATGCTGCTGTTCATAGTAGAGGAAGGCCTACAGTAGACTACAGTGGATAACTACTGCCCAGCAGACTACAGTGGATAACTACTGCCCAGTAGACTACAGTGGATAACTACTGCCCAGCAGACTACAGTGGATAACTACTGCCCAGTAGACTACAGTGGATAACTACTGCCCAGCAGACTACAGTGGATAACTACTGCCCAGTAGACTACAGTGGATAACTACTGCCCAGCAGACTACAGTGGATAACTACTGCCCAGTAGACTACAGTGGATAACTACTGCCCAGCAGACTACAGTGGATAACTACTGCCCAGTAGACTACAGTGGATAACTACTGCCCAGCAGACTACGTAAATTATCATGCTTGATCACTAAATTGTACCGGTAGTTGAAAGGAAAATGGAGGGTTTGTGATCTGCGATTCGTGCTTCAATGAATAGACACATAGATTGACTTCTTCGCAAATTTCATCAAGGAACCCCATGCCAGTGAATGTTCATTCATGTTTAGATATATAGGTCTCGTATTAAGTAATGACAACAGTATGATCCAATATCTGGGCACTGGATCCGAACAGACAAATGTTGGTGGGATGCGTATTACTTAAATAAATATATGGGCAAAGTAATAGCGACAGTGCAGACAAAGTAATAGCGACAGTACAGACAAAGAAATTTGTCAAATTTCCGGGCGATCTGCCCCTTTGTCAAGACAGAAACATAACATATCACAACATACAACATATCACAACATACAACATATCACAACATACAACATATCACAACATACAACAGAGATAAACAGTCACTATGAAGCAATACTTCAACATAAAATACATGAACAAAAACAAACAACAGCAATCACTTTTGAAATATGTTGCTGTAATTGTTTTTATCACATGCCTATGCAATCCTACGATAGTAATACATCATTTTGTCAGATTTGTTTTCTGTCTGCTTGTGTCACACATGTGCGATACAAGATCCTGTATCACCACAGTAGTCGGAACTACTTTTTAGGAGAATTCCCTCTACTGACACCGCTAAAAATAACCTGGTATTTGTATTCAACATAAACTTCTAAATATCGTCACAGTCGCGTACAACATCCCATTCATCACCTCCAATGAAATACCGACGAATACTGCCAATTGTTGACTCAGATGATGAAGATTTTATCTAGATTTCTTGTGTTTTCTCACCTTGGCGCGTGACGTCACTCAGACTCGGCGCGTGCTGTGACGTTGCGAGACTTTTGGAGAATTTGTAATGACCGACATTTAAACTTACATGAATACACGTAACTTTATGCCATTAAATGTGTTGCATTTTAATTTTTCTTTGTTATTTTGTATTTAACCATTAATATTTAAAATGTTGTACACCCAAAGGTACAGTTCAGTCTCAAAAAGACTGTTATCATTCACAGGTCCTGTGAACCATGCAATTACTTTTTTTAAAGCAATGCAATGATTTTATTTTTAAGAATTTGTTTTCTATATCTCAGAATTATCAAAACAACACATTAATTATACAAAGAATGTGTTAAATAAAAATAAAAGAAATACATTATCATAAAAAAACACCAAGAGAATGCCATTTTTTTTAATAAAACACAAGTTTCTATTTTAAAAAATCCTGGCATTGCGTCGACCTGTGTGCCGTTGGAAACGACAAAAAGAGGAAAAACATAAAATGTGCATTTAGTCATATCAGATACAATTCCTAATTACCAAGGCTACAATAGGGTTAAGTCATGTGATAAAAGCAAAACCACACATATGTGTTGATCTGTGTATTCGGCTCGCACTCGTTTGTGGTGGCGGAGGAATATATCACTCGTGCGAAGAGCACTCGTGATATATTCCTCCGCCACCAAAAACTCATGCGAGCCGAATACTCAGATCAACACATATGTGTGGTTTTCCCAATGTATCCCCTCTGTTAGATTGTAAGTGAAGGCTGATTCATGTTTAGGTGTATAAATTTGTCTTGTATATTGTGCATTCATCTAGAAAAATCTTGTGTGTGATTGTTTGATTAATAAACTAATATCTCTGGTTTATTACAGATTACAGATTCTACACTGAATTACCTGTCCAACTACTGTCCCAAAGTCAGCGCATTGGTAAGTGTACTGTCCCAAAATCAGCGCATTGATAAGTGTATTGTCCCAAAATCAGCATATTGGTTAGTGTACTGTCCCAAAATCAGCGCATTGATTAGTGTACTGTCCCAAAATCAGCGCATTGGTAAGTGTACTGTCCCAAACTCGGCGCATTGGTAAGTTTACTGTCCCAAAATCAGCATATTGGTAAGTGTAATGTCCCAAAGTCAGGGCATTGGTAAGTGTACTGTCCCATAATCAGTGCATAGTATAGTGAGTAAGTGTCCGACCAATGACATCTTCGATGCGCTTGGGGTTATAACCATTTTTGCTCTCTGCACCCCTGGAATATGTAACATAATAGCAAAATAGTCATCCACAATGTGGCACACACTCAGCCTTCAATTTTGTCATGACATATTCCAGGGGTGCACGCTGCATAATTGAGCATAACCCCTTGAGGACCCAGGATGCACTAGTGAACTACCTTATATCATCAATAAAGTAATAGATCCATCGTCTGTTTTCAAAATGGTAAACAGACTTTTAAGACTTAGGATGTATGTACCTTTCTTTAACCCTTTCACCACTGTAGACCATAATGTAGATCAGTGCATGGTAGAATCTACTAAAGTTACATAAGGGGTGATTGGGTTAAAATGCCACAGTAACATGTACCTAAAAATGCTAGGAATATCAAAATCTGATTGGAGGAATAATATTATAAATCTGTTCTTCATTAATTAGTTAAATATAAAAAATGATATTTCTTGTAAAATTTGATGATTTTAACAGTTTTCTTTCGAAAAAACTATTGGATTTCCATTTAAGTGATTTATATCATTATAAAAAAAGTATAAAAAAAAATTATAATTATATTGAGACAATGTTTTTTCAAAAATGAACATGTTTATATTACATTTTACATATTATATTACATTATACAACTATTAAGAGCCCGTGTATTTCCTTTCATCAGAGTCTGTCCCATTGTGAGCTGATCACGGACGAGGGAATCCGTCACATCGGGACCGGGACTTGTGCTACAGAGTATCTCCACATCCTAGAGCTAGACAACTGCCCGCTGATCACAGACGCATCCCTAGAACACTTGATGGGCTGTCAAGGGCTCGAGCGAATAGAACTCTATGACTGTCAGCTCATTACACGTGCTGGCATCCGCCGACTCCGAGTAAGTACCTCTCGAAGGAATGTGAGGTAATATAAGGAGCTTTCCAAGGAACGTGAGGTAATATAAGTAGCTTTCCAAGGAATGCTGGCTAATATAGGTACCTCTCGAAGGAACACGAGGTAATATAAGTACCTCTCAAAGGAACACAAGGTAATATAAGTAGCTTTCCAAGGAACGCGAGGTAATATAAGTACCTCTCTGAGGAATGCTGGGTAATATTAGTACCTCTCCAAGGAACGTGAGGTAATATTATTACCTCTCCAAGGAACACAAGATGATAAAAGTAGCACTCAAAGGAATGCCAGATAATTTAAGTAGCACCCTAAGGAACGCCAGATAATAAAAGTAGCACTCTAAGGAACGCCAGATAATTAAAGTAGCACTCTAAGGAACGCCAGATAATATAAGTAGCACTCTAAGGAACGCCAGATAAAAAAAGTAGCACTCTAAGGAACGCCAGATAATAAAAGTAGCACTCTAAGGAACGCCAGATAATATAAGTAGCACTCTAAGAAACGCCAGATAATAAAAGTAGCACTCTAAGGAACGCCCGATAATATAAGTAGCACTCTAAGAAACGCCAGATAATATAAGCAGCACTCTAAGGAACGCCAGATAATATAAGTAGCACTCTAAGGAACGCCAGATAATATAAGGATTGTATACAGGGAAATCAGAATTTGTACTGATGGTATGATTGTTTATGTAAAAGGGAACACATCTTTCACTGTCGATCTGTTAAAACATGCTTGAGAAAGCAGATAATGATTTATCATGACCCATTTACTCGATAATGTTGAGTCCATTTAAATTTAGGGACAACATGTACCAGTAATTGCATTGTATATCGGGAAGTTAGGTTAGAATAACATGTACCAGTTATTGCATTGTATATCGGAAAGTTAGGTCAAATTTTGGTGATGATTTGTCCTGATATTACTGATGATGTTGTTTTCTAGACACGGCTGCCAAACATCAAAGTACACGCCTACTTTGCACCAGTGACCCCACCTCCCTCGGTCGGCAACGGTCGGCAACGATACTGCAAGTGTTGTGTGATTCTCTGACAGCATGGGGCCAAGGTGATGACCTTGAAACAACTTTAGGACAAGTACAGGGACGAATGCAAGGTGTGACGAACTCGTTGGCCGGTACAGGTGTAGTAGACAGTGACAGCTGTAGCATCTTTATGATAACTACACTGTACTGGCATGGAGTTGTCAGGGAATTCTGGGAAGTCTTGCAGGTGTCCTGATAGCTCTGTGAGCTGGTAGTGGCTCCGAGTCGGCCCGCAGTCTGGAGCTGTGTTGTGTGGGTGGGGATGTACTGTGAGTCCGTGTATCGAGACTGGACAGGCTTCGCTGGTTATATCAAGTTTGTTGCTTACAAGATGACATTCACATGCAAATTTATCAAGCTGGTATAATACATAACCACGGACGTCATGATTATTTTTGCAGAAAGTATCCGCACTGCGATTCTTTTGATGTGTTTTACTGTGAAAATGTCTGTGTGTAAAAGTGTCCAGTTTTACATATCTCCGACCCATCCATCACGCATCACCAGCTACCACTCAGAGACAGCGATCACGAAATATCAACTGCGCGAACATGACGTCATCTGTTCAATGAACGATTGGATCCTCCAGATCATGTGATCTTGTTAGGGATCAAACGACGCAGAGAAATACCTTTAATTGTCCATTGTATATTGAGAAATATTTAGGGTGATTATGTATGAATTATGTAAGTCACTGAATGAAATCTCAGAGCGAAGATTACTCCCTGAGATTTAAGTGGAGTGAGTAGTAACCGGAGTGTGAACGTGGTCATTACTGAAGCAAGTTATATCTCCAAATGTGATTATAAGGTTTTCTTAAAGAAATGATATCTATGAATATGAATACACGTTTTCCTTAAAGGAAATCATATCCATAAATGTGATACAAGATTTTAAGAAAATAATATTTCTATAAATAGGAGTATAGAATTTTACTTAGACAAGTAATTAGTATCTTAAGATGTGATGGTTAGTTTCTTTTTACTAAAGCAAGTTAATATTTTATCAGTTTGTTGTAGCAAAAAATATCTAAATGTGAACACAGTCTTTAATTAAGGAATATCATTTGATTTTAACGTAACTGAATTACTTCTAAGGTTTCAACTATGTCCTTTAGTCACAGGTGTATGCCTCCTGTTCAGACAGGGCTCCTTCATGTGTAGGTAAATTTATCCACGCTCCCGAGGGCTCGACAGAATGAGGTTTCCTATGACTGGGGCAGTGGAGCGAGGCAGTCAAGTATTATGATTTTACAACAAGTATTAACATCCAAAAGCAGTATAGGAAGCTGCTCATGTGGACACATCAGAAACTGGATGACAGGTGTTTTAAGTTAAAATTCTCTTGTGTTAGTTTACAGTATGCACTCTAGGTAAGAGTGAAGATGTCATACAAAATTTTCTGTTTCTTTGGAATCGTACAAATCACAAAAATTGTGGATTTATTACCAAATCCCTATGGCTGGACAGCTGCAAAGTGAATATTTACGCTGAGAGTTCACCAGTTAAATACTGAAAGACTGAAATTTGTATGATTAAGGAATTTAGTTCAAATTTTTATCTGTTTAGGAGTTGTTAACAACAAGTAACCTAGTTTTTAGGACAATTTAAGAGTTGTTTTGTTGGGTGTTATCTGGAAAAGTTACCTTGTTGAAAGTTAATAACTGAAAGTTAATTGGTTAAGAATTAGTAAACCAAGAGTTAACAGGTTGAAAGTTTAGAAGAGTTACCTGATTTATAGTTTACATAAATGTTTCCTGGGAGTGTAGACAAAGGTTTCCAGGCTGAGAGTTTAGATGAGACTTTCCATGTTGAGAGTTTAGATGAGAGTTACCTGGTTGAAAGTTACCTGGATGAGGTTTTAAATGAGAGTTAGCATGAGAGTTACCTGGTTGAGAGTGTAGACGAGTTTCCAGGTTGAGAGTTTAGATGAGAGTCTCTAGGCTTAGAGTTTAGACGAGTTTCCTAATTGAATATTTAGATGAGAGTTACCTGGTTGAGAGTTAGGATGAGAGTTACCTGGTTGAGAGTAAGGATGAGAATTACCTGGTTGAGAGTTAAGGATGAGAGTTACCTGGTTGAGTTTTTAGCTCACCTGGCACGAAGTGCCAAGTGAGCTTATGCCGTGGCGCGGCGTCCGGCGTCCGGCGTCAATATTTTACTTTAAACGACTTCTTCTTAATAACCGAAAGGCCTAGGGTGTCAATATTTGGCCAGAAGCAAACTTGGATGAAGGGCTACAAAGTATGTTAAATTAATGACCTTCACCTATTTTCAAGGTCACAGGGGTCAAATATGTCAAAAACTTTAAACATCTTCTTCTCAATAACCAAAATGCCCAGGGAGTTGATATTTGGCCAGTAGCATGCTTGGGTGAAGGGCTACCAAGTTTGTTCAAATGAATGACCTTCAATTATATTCAAGGTCACAGGGGTCAATTGTATTAAAAAACCTTTAAACAACTTCTTCTGAATAACCAAAATGCTCAGGGTGATGATATTTGGCCAGTAGCATGCTGAGATGAAGTGCTACAAAGTTTGTTCAAATGAATGACCTTCACCCATATTCAAGGTCACAGGGGTCAAATATGTTAAAAACTTTAAACAACTTCTTCTCAATAACCAAAATGCCCTGGGTGATGATATTTGGCCAGTAGCAAGCTGAGATGAAGGGCTACAAAGTTTGTTCAAATAAATGACCTTCACCCATATTCAAGGTCACAGGGGTCAAATATGTTTAAAACTTTAAACAACTTCTTCTGAATAACCAAAATGCCCAGGGTGATGATATTTGGTCAGAAGCATACTAGGATCAAGGGCTACCAAGTTTGTATAAATGTATGACCTTGAATCATATTCAAGGTCACAAGGAGCAAATATGTTCAAAATATTTCAACAACTTGTTTTGAATAACCAAAAGGCTCAGGATATTGATATTTAGTCAGTAGTATATGCTGGGATCGAGGAATACTTTGTTTGTTAAAGTGAATGACTTTGACTTATATTCAAGGTCACAGGGGTCAATTTCTTTTTAACGACGGGTCCCAGGATGTTTATACTTTGCAAGTTGCATCCTGAGATGAAAGGCTATGCAATGTGTTCAACATAATGACTTTGTTCGACTTTTAATCACAGGGGTGAAATGTAAAAAAAAAAAAACAGGGTCTTTTGAATGAATTTTAATCAGAAATACTGATATTTTTCCTGTAGCTTTATTTTAGATCACTTTTAATGTTACAAGTGTGAGTTTTATACCAGGTGAGCGATGCAGGCCCATTGGGCCTCTTGTTAGATGAGAGTTACTTGCTTGAGTTCTTAGATAAAAGTTTTTTGAGTTTCCTGACTGAAAGCTTGATTACAAGTTTAGTGTTCTGTCTCTATTTAACAGTTTTGAGATCCGAGAATTGCTAAGATTAAATAAGTAAGATCATTTGAGTATTTCCACCATACCTGGTGTGTAATCTTAGGATGTGTAAGTGTGTCTATCCGTATGGCCATCTTTCTCTGTATATGATGACAAGCGAGGTTTTATCCGAGATTATGAGCTATGTCATTTCCTTGAACTGAAATGTAGCGACAAGATATTCAGTTAAACTGTGGCTGTACTAATCATGTGTACTGTAATCAGCCTGTCAATGTCGATTAGAAGTTGTGTACTGTAAGACACTCTCTAGTTTTATATAAAATGTTGCTCCTACCTAATATATGTTTACTTCAATAGTGTACAGTAATATAAGGATCTCTTTCAAGTTAATCAATATTGTTGCATAAAAAATGCAACAAATTATTCATAGGGGCCAAATTTCTTATATACTAATATAGGTAAATTTTAAAAGATAATGCATCTTTGTGTAAATACTTGTTACAGGACAATTTTCTGTCTTGGCATGTATGTCTGTTCAATCCCATTTAGATATTTAACTATAGTACTGTACATGTTGGTGTGTTTTTTGCGTGACAAATCTGATATCATAAGACAATTCTGTGACTCTAATATGAACTAATGTTTCTAGTTTAAAACCCTGTTCGTATCGATTTGATGATGATTGATGATGAACGCAGTACGGGATTGTTCCTGAAAAACACCATAGGAAAAGGTTCAGTTTACTTCCAGAAATATATCCCAACACTGAACGATCCCTGTACTATTACCAAAAGCTGTAACTATGATTTTTTGATTTTTTTTTACTGACTTGATAAAAGCCCTAATCAAACCCTTCTGATACATTCATTTATCACATACCGTAAAACCCCATGTAATTTGCGCAGGTACTTTTTGAACCTGAAAATCCCCTAAAAAGCTTCTGCTCGGATTTTTTGCGCACATTTTATTTTTTTGAAAAAGAAAAAAAAATCAAGTTCCGAAAATCGATCTCTGAAAATGAAAGACAAGCAATTTTCAGACCATTAAATACAGTGTTCTGTATTGCACATGTGCAATATGGAATGTTGTATTTACCTACTAGCCAGAACTACTTTTTATGGGAATCCCCTTGTCATGGTGAACTGAAAAGTTCCCAATATTCGCAAAAAAATCATAGTTTATGAAATCTTTGTATCGATCTCTATCAAATACGGAAGGTATGTGATAAAAGCAAGACCACACACTTCTGTTTTTCCATCGAATCAGAAAGCACTCATTTATTGGGTGGACGTATATATTCGTCCGCAAAGAAACTCATGCTTTCTGATTCGTTAGAAAAACACAAGTGTGTGGTCTTGCATATATATTTTTTGAATAAATACTAGATGAAATAAACAAAGAAGTAGTCAACAACATTGTTTTAAAGTAAAAATACAATGGTGCCAGGCAGGATTCGAACTTTAATCCTAGTTCAATCGTTCTAACCAACTGGGCTGCCTGATGAGTGCTAAAGTCCTCTGATTAGTCCTTCTAACCAACTGGGCTGCCTGGTGAGTGCTATAGTCCTCTGATCAGACCTTCTAACCAACTGGGCTGCCTGGTGAGCGTTAAAGTCCTCTGATTAGTCCTTCTAACCAATTGGGCTGCCTGGTGAGCGCTATAGTCCTCTGATCAGACCTTCTAACCAACTGGGCTGCCTGGTGAGGGTTAAAGTCCTCTGATCAGTCCTTCTAACCATCTGGGCTGCCTGGTGAGCGCTATAGTCCTCTGATTAGACCTTCTAACCAACTGGGCTGCCTGATGAGCTCTATAGTCCTCTGATTAATCCTTCTAACCAACGGGGCTGCCTGGTGAGTGTTAAAGTCCTCTGATCAGGCCTTCTAACCAACTGGGCTGCCTGATGAGTGCTAAAGTCCTCTGATTAGTCCTTCTAACCATCTGGGCTGCCTGATGAGCGCTATAGTCCTCTGATTAGTCCTTCTAACCAATTGGGCTGCCTGGTGAGCGCTATAGTCCTCTGATTAGTCCTTCTAACCAATTGGGCTGCCTGGTGAGTGCTATAGTCCTCTGATCAGTCCTTCTAACCAACTGGGCTGCCTGGTGAGCGCTATAGTCATCTGATCAGTCCTTCTAACCACCTGGGCTGCCTGGTGAGCGCTATAGTCCTCTGATTAGACCTTCTAACCAACTGGGCTGCCTGATGAGTGCTATAGTCCTCTGATCACAGTACCGTCGTTCTAACCACCTGGGCTGCCTGGTGAGCGCTATAGTCCTCTGATCACAGTACCGTCGTTCTAACCAACTGGACTGCCTGATGAGTGCTATAGTCCTCTGATCACAGTACCGTCTTTCTAACCACCTGGGCTGCCTGATGAGTGCTATAGTCCTCTGATCACAGTACCGTCGTTCTAACCAACTGGACTGCCTGATGAGTGCTATGTTCCTGTCCAAGTACCAGTTACAGTTACAATTTCAAAAGTGGATTTCAGGGGAGGTTACAGAATGTATGTAAAATTGAAGTGGAAATCTCTGGTGTATTTCTTGTAGTGAGGCATGGATGGAACCTTAAAATATGTCAAAAACAGGAGCAATATTAGATTGAGTATCAATATATGTGTTACTGGTACATTAAGATATACACTGTGATGTAGACCTGAGAAATTGTTCATCGGTCTGATATTTACTTGTCTCACACTTCAAGGTAAGGTCAAATTTGTTATGACCCAAACGTTAAACCTGAAATATCAAATGTTTGAGTGAGGATGAATTGGATTAGTTAAAGAATATAGAAAACTAGAAAATGTCTGTAAGACATGAATACCCCCCATCACCATGTGAAATTAGTTTCAGTTTTTGATGTTTTATGGGACGGGACAGACTTGGGCATCATAAAAAATACCAAACAATCCCTGTAGGTATTCATGAATTGTTTTAGTTGTATCAGTTTTATTTCAGTTACATATTCAACAGTTACATGATTGACCTAGTTACACATTTAACAGTTACTTGATTGACCTAGTTTAACATAAACTTACTTGATTGACCTAGTTACATATTTAACAGTTACATGATTGACCTAGTTTAACATTTAACAGTTACATGATTGACCTAGTTACACATTTAACAGTTACTTGATTGACCTAGTTTAACATAAACTTACTTGATTGACCTAGTTACATATTTAACAGTTACTTGATTGACCTAGTTACACTTTTGACAGTTATATGATTGACCTAGTTACACATTTAACAGTTACATGATTGACCTAGTTATACATTCGATAGTTACTTGATTGACCTAGTTACACAGTAATCAGTAACATGATTGACCTAGTTACATATTTAACATTTACATGATTGACTTAGTTATACATTCGACAGTTACATGATTGACTTAGTTACACAGTAATCAATTACATGATTGACCTAGTAACACAGTAAACAATTACTTGATTGACCTAGTTACACTTTTGACAGGTACATTATTGACCTAGTTACACATTTGACACTT